TTGACTAGCTGCAATGCCCACTGCTGGGATGTAGGTGGCGCTGCAGTGATAAAAATGCGGCCTCAAACGTGGCAAACCTTATCCCCCCTCATCGCTGAAGTAGACATCCCGCTCCATACAGCCTCCTAAATCCAACGAATCCGTCTTCTGTCTTTGACCTTGCCCCCTTTCAGTCTATTACACAGCTGTTTCTAGTTGTTGTAAGTGTGCTCAGTCACAGCTGGTTTGTTTTTAACTCTACCATCCATCTATGTACCAACCTGACGGAACTATCCATTGGTTTGGTATTCATACTGTGCATAGTGTGTGTGGGGGCACATGTACAGCTCAATCGCCAGGGATTAACCTACCATCACGGAACGCAAGGGTGGATTTCACCCTCCAACCAGATCGTTATCGTGGAGCATTAGGGCGTAAGATGGGAGAGATTAGAGAGATGGATTGAGGTCTTCAAACGGAGAATTCTCGTCGTAGTTTTACGGCCCATTCCGTCATGGAAGCTTAAAGCAGGCAAGGGGAAAAGTTATGCTTTACGGGCAGTCGTTAAGACAGGAGGTAAAAGAAACGTAGGCGTGTGTTAAAGCCTAAGTGTCCCTTTTTGTACCCTCGTATTTCCCAAGAACCATCGTAGAGTGGAACTCGTTGCCACCAAGTACAGTTGGGGCATCACCACTAGAAAGCTCTCTCTGAACAACTCCTGCAATTAAATGTGCAAAGACTGTGTGTAACAAGTCGTTCGGTGTGATACAGCTAGCTGCCGCCGTGCCGCGTGCCTGCGAAGCTGGTGTGTTACGCCGAAGGGCGGTTATACCGGCTATACCGATACAGATACAGACAAAATGACTAACAAACTGGTGGACGTGCCAACCACTAAGTGTCTGATACCAGCCCAGAAAAGAACATCAAATAGCAGAGTTATCAACCAAAAACTGAGATGTCCAAAAACTAGTAGTTCCCAGATACAGAATTGCAGGTGTGTGTGTGTGTGTGGGGGGGTCCTTCAACTTTACCTTGTCCCACCCTCGTCTTGAGGTTTGGGAAATGCTGTAGCAGCGTTCTGCACAACAAAAGAGATAATGACGGAGCAAGCAAAAGAACATTTGAATTGCACAGTCCCAGTCGGTGCACCCCTCCCCCAATACAGGTTGATTAAACCATTGCACATTTACAGTACACCCTATAGCTAGTAGACATACTTTATAAAGAGAACACATCACATTTGGAGGTTCAACGGTAAGAGGCTACCATAACGCTACTCCATTACAGAGACAATGAACCCCATTACAAAGGCAATAAACGTTTCCCGGTTATAATATGCATACAGTTGCTGCTACTAGTAGTTCACGATATCTTGATGTAACTGCCAAATGGTGTGCCTTACAGTTCTTCGTCACGCATCTTTGCAATAGTTCATATAGTTCGATAAAGAAATAGCGTTCACAATTTTGAATTTGCTTTCGTAACATCTTGCACAGAGATGTGGCATCAAAGTTCTGACAGTCAGAAGTCATGGTGCTCAACTTGTAAAATGTGTATGCAGGGGAGGGGGCAAGCTGTCAAACGGTTCTTTAATTTTACACATCATTCTAACCTGATAGCTTAGGGGTCGTTTCTGGAATGACTTCCTTGATAGCTGGCAGTGATATTCACAGCCGTGTGAGTGGCAGAAGCACTCCGAGGGAGATCAAGTGTAGTTTCGGTGATGAGCTTCCATCGATGACTTCCTGCAGCATTCAAGATCTTACAGGCAGATTCCACGTTAAATCGTGTGTGTATTTCCGGGCCTCTGACGTCTTTTTAAGCCCCTCGCTAGCGGGTAAACTAAATCTACAGCCCCTGAATGACACTAGAGTGGGCTGGGATATGCCCTAAAGCGATGGGGTCAACTGTACGTGTGTAGGTCAACTTTGGAAAATTCGTGTCAGCTAAGGTAGCATGGTTATAGTAGGTGAGGTTAAGGTGCAGTGCCCCCTTTCTGAAATGCTTTTCAGGGTTGTATACATCTAAGTCGCCCGTAAATAATGAACTTTTGAACTCGTGCTTTGAACGTTCTTCGGTGCGAGTTTTTGCAACCGTCACCCCGATCTATCGGTCCAGGGAATAGCGTGGTAAATAGTAGGGGAGTGCTCCAGTTCTGAAAGTGCCTGTTCATCATGTCTACATCTGGGTCGCTCATAAATCATCGTGAGGTCCTGAAGCAATACTTTCATCGCCATTCAACGCGAGATTTCACGAGATTTTCTCCATGGGCCACCCCAGTATATCAGCCCAAGGAAAAGAAAGATATTTAAATTAAAGCTCACTGCCATGAGGACCACATTGGTAGGAAAATTGAAGCAAGTTCAGGCCCATGTTTCAACAGCTCATTGCACAATGGCACGCCATTTCCGTGTAGGGACGTGATGGCCGTTTTGGTGAGATTGACCCAAATGTTCACGTGAAGTGGAAAATTAGAAACGAGATCCCATCAGGTGAATGGACGAGATATAGCCCATACACGCTCGTATTGGGGCGTAAAGAAGAAATCGTTAAGATTGAGAGGAGATTTAGATCAAAGGCTTTCAGGAGAAAGAGGTAACGATCTTGAGATATACGAAAAGACATTGGCGCGTTCCAGGGCTTTAGTTTGAGAAGCCTCATGCATGAAAACATGCTTCAAGTTCACTGAGCGGACAACGTGCCACGATCTGACAACAGCA